TTTTTTTCCCCCGGGTTTTTAATTTTTTTCCCTTTTTTTTTTTTTTGCACAATCCACAAAAACTGTACAGAAGTTTGCAAACGCCGGGGGGAGGAAGGAAAGAGGGCGAGGGCTGGGAGGAAGGAGAGGAGCCCGAGTCCCCCGTGCACCCGCGCCCTGAGCTCGCCGCGGCCGAGGGTGTCTGAGCGACCTCTCCTCATTTTTTGTATTTTTTTAATTTTTTTTTGTTAAACTCCTTTTTTTTTGTTTCTTTTTTGTTTTATACAAATTCAGATCTTTGGGTGTGTACTGCCAAAAAAAAAAAACCCAAACCAAAAAAAAAAGACAAAAAAATCCCGCCTCGGTCTCATTAATAATAATTAAAAAATAAAACTCAAATCATCGTCATCGTTATTAAAAAAAGGCAACGGAAACCCAATGAACCCATGCGGAAGTTGCACACCACAAAACCACAGCAGATGTACAGAATGCAATATACAAGACACGATTTATAATAAAACATTATATACAATAAATAGGTTATTGTTACTTTTTTCTTTTTTTTTTTCTTTTTTGTCGATCGATCTGTAAATAAATTTTTCTCAGTGCATACCGGTGGGTTTTTGCTTCTCTCTTCTGCATCTCCGCCTCTCTGTCGCTTCTTGGTTTTTTATTCCCTATTTCGCTTTTGATTTTGCTTCTTTCCTCAGGTGTGTGGCTTTCTCTTTTTTTTTTTTTTTTTTTTGAATTTTCGGCTTTTTAATTTTTTTCCTGGCTTTTTTTATTTTTAACTCCTTTTCTTCAAAACTATTTACAATTGCTGGTTTTGTGCAGAAAAAAAATTAATAAAATAAAAGGTAAAAATAGAGTCACACCAGGGCACCCCGTGTACCCCACAGCAGAGCACCCACAGCCTCCAGCACCCTGTGCACCCTGTGCCGGTAGCCCGTGCCCCGCAGTCACCCCGCATGCTGCACAGCCGGGCTCCAGCACCCTGCGCCCGGGGGTTCAGGCACCCCCGGGCTCCCGCACCCGGCGCACCCCACACCAGGGCACCCCGTGTACCCCACACCAGGGCACCCCGTGTACCCCACACCAGGGCACCCTGCACGCTCGGGCTACAGCCTGCGTGGGACCCCCAGGCGCCGGGGGCTCCGGTTTG